CCTGCCCATTAGTGCCACAGTTATCCCTGCCCATTAGTGCCACAGTTATCCCTGCCCATTAGTGCCACAGTTATCCCTGCCCATTAGTGCCACAGTTATCCCTGCCCATTAGTGCCACAGTCATCCCTGCCCATTAGTGCCACAGTTATCCCTGCCCATTAGTGCCAGATGGGGATTTTAGATCACAAACCTAACTCTTGACACAAACTCTAACCCTTCGTATAGCGTAGTATACACGCGGATATATCCAAGTATGTTGCCTTATCGACTTCCTTGCCTCTTGCCAGCCGATAGCGAGCTATCTTCCAGCCCCCACCTTAACCCCCATCTTCGAAGCCTGAATTAAGACCAAACAAGAGAACATACTCAGGGCAGAGTATACCTGGAACATACCTGTAGAGGGTTTCTTAAGTATTTCTTCCCGAGCCCGGCCTGGGGCGAGGCTCGACTTGGGATAGCTTGGTCCAACAGGCTGTTGCTTGGAACGGCCCGCAGGCCCACCACAACCCGGTTGGTCCGGCACTTCTTGTAGGAACTTGAATGTGTCTTGAATATATTCACCTTCGTTCCGGCAGTATTTCTACTGCTTGCTGGGAGGGTGTTGAACAACCACGGACGCCTTATGAACATTACCAACCCATCCTCCGAATTGACAGTACAGTTTAATACTAAGTGTAATAAGTACATTTTCTTACTGGCATACATAGTACATAATTGCACTTATGGGGCTGTTATATTTACCTCCCCGTTTATTCTCATTTTCTGTTAAGACACTCAGAATTTTAGGATGAAGTTTTCAAGTTTAATTCGCTATACGCAAGTTTTAAATATCAGGAATTTCTTTTTCAGTTTTCTTAAACAATAGAGATTTTATACAAAAGTTGAAAATATCCTGAGTTACTTTACAATTTATTGATATATTTTAGTTTTGTTTTATTAGTTTTATAAAACTGTAATATCAATATAGCTATAGGTTAAGTACTAATTGTAATTAAGCAGCAATAAAATGCTTATCTTCAAACTCTTAAGAAGGTTAGGTTAGGTCGTGGCTTTCTATTAAGCTTTTCAGGTAAACTCAAATATTCATAATATATTTTATAGTTCGGTTTAATACTAAGTGAAAATAAGTACAATTCCTGACTGCTGTGAATAGTACACAATTGCACTTACTTGTGCTGTTACATTTACCGCCCCATTTTTGGAGGACGGGGTGCAGACAGTGCTCTCTGGTTGTGCCTATGACACCTCTACTCCTCACTGGTTCTATTCTGCATTTCTTTCAGTATCTTTCGTTCCAGTATGTTGTTATTCTACTGTGCAATTTTGGGACCTTTGTGTGTGTGTGTGTGTGTGTGTGTGTGTGTGTGTGTGTGTGTGTGTGTGTGTGTGTGTGTGTGTACTCATCTAGTTGTGTTTGCGGGGGTTGAGCTCTGGCTCTTTGGTCCCGCCTCTCAACTGTCAATCAACTGGTGTATAGATTCCAATAGATGTGTGTGTGTAGGGGGGGGGGGGGCGGGAGTGATGGAGGTGGGGGTGTTAGTGGCGGAGGAGTGTGGAGGGTGGCAGAGCTGGTGCCACTCTGTCCACACCATCACCGGTGTCACCCGACACACCTGTAACCGTGTCTGTACAGGATGCGTGCTCTCTACACACCTGTGTGTACACACACGACTGTGTACACACACGACTGTGTACACACGATGGTTACCATTGTAACTAAACGGTCACGGGACTGTACTGTTCTTCCTCGCCCCCTCTCCCGTCACCACACCCCCCTACCCCCCACTCCCGTCACCCCGGCCCCCCCCCCTTCTTGCCCGTCACCACGCCCCCCATCCCCCCACCACGCGCCCCCCCTTCCCCACCACGCCCTCCCCTCACACCGACGTCACTTAATATTTAAAAATCATGCTGGGAGGGTGCAAGAAAGTAAGTTTTATTTTGGACATAAATTGATCGAGATATAATAGTGAGGTGAACGTGGCTTTGGAACAGAGAAAAGCATCTCTGAGGTAACTTATTACGACAAAGTCAGGAGGCTGAATGCTGTTTGCGGGGGTTTTGTCACACAATAGCAGCTTAAGTAGGATTTTTTTTTACCTAACTTCTGATTTTTTTTTAAGTTAGAATTCTAACCTAAATTTTTTTTTACCATATAGTTAATATTTCCGTAACAAAAGTTGCAACGTTCAAAGGGGGGGGGGGGGGAATTGGACAGGTTTCTACAAAAAGTGATGGATGAACAGGGTTGTGATAGATTTGTGGCCATGCGGGTTGCTGGCAGCCACAGCCTTGTCCATCAGGTTCTTCCCAGAAACGCCGGATGGCGTCCGCCCGAACTGTGGGAGTGGAAAACCTCTCTAAATGTAGCGCCGTACTGGTCAGGCTATTGCCAGGGAAGCCTTGCTTCAAGCTGGGGGTTATTGTGGTAGAAACACTAGTAACCAGCCACAGGTAAACATGGGTTGTTATTGTTTAAGATTCGCTACCCGGAACAAAAAGTTCCAAGTAGCACGGGCTATGGTGAGCCCGTAGTGGATCTAAGCAATAGGTGTTTGTCACGTGCAGAGCTGATCGCCAGTCAGTGAACATTGATTATGGGTGTTCAAGATGAGAGTTAACGAGCTCACCCTCTTCACTACACCTTGTGGCTGGCTGTGTTGACGGGCCTGTTGGTGGCATGTACTGGCGGACAGTTTGCCGAGTGTGACGGAGAGCAACTTGGTGAATGAGGTTAAGAAGCCACGAGGGGAGAGGCTGGGAGGAAGGTGTTGAAGGCGAGGGTGGCGGGGGCGGCTGCTACAGTACGCTCCCGGCGGTGGCCTCCAGGCTCATGCAGGCTCCCCCAGGCTCCTGCAGGCTCCTGCAGGCTCCCCCAGGCTCCCCCAGGCTCTTGCAGGCTCCCCCAGGCTCCTGCAGGCTCCCCCAGGCTCCCCCAGGCTCCTGCAGGCTCCCCCAGGCTCCTACAGGCTCCTACAGGCTCCCCCAGGCTCCCGCAGGCTCTTGCAGGCTCCTGCAGGCTCCCCCAGGCTCCTACAGGCTCCTCCAGGCTCCCCCAGGCTCCCGCAGGCTCTTGCAGGCTCCTGCAGGCTCCCCCAGGCTCCCGCAGGCTCTTGCAGGCTCTTGCAGGCTCCCCCAGGCTCCCCCAGGCTCCCCCAGGCTCCCCCAGGCTCCTGCAGGCTCCCCCAGGCTCCTGCAGGCTCCCCCAGGCTCCTGCAGGCTCCCCCAGGCTCCTGCAGGCTCCCCCAGGCTCCCCCAGGCTCCTGCAGGCTCCCCCAGGCTCCCGCAGGCTCCCCCAGGCTCCCCCAGGCGGTCCCACTCTTACACACCAACTGCTCACGGCTACATGCGTTATGTTGAGATGATTGATTATCTTGAGATGATTTCGGGGCTTAGCGTCCCCATGGCCCGGTTCTCGACCAGGCCTCCTTTTTGTTAGCAGCCCGCAGCAGCTGTCTAACTCCCAGGTACCTATTTACTGCTAGGTAACAGGGACATTAGGGTGAAAGAAACTCTGCCTATTTGTTTCCGCCGGGGATCGAACCCGGGACTATGAATCCGAAGCGCTGTCCACTCAGCTGTCAGGCGTCCTGACACACATACACCTGCCTGACGGCTTTGGCTTTGTGTAATTCTGTGTTACACAAATTAATTGTGTGTCTGCGTCAGTTAGTCTGTGATGGCTGTTAGCGCCTCAATGAGCAAACTGATTTACATGAAAATTAAAGCAAGGCTTTACATGAACATCTGTAAAGACGTGATGTTGAGCCACATCAGTGAGACCAAGTGCGGCTCGTGATAGTTTAAAGTTTCCTGCCCGAAACGCTTTGCGTAATAATGGCTTTAGGCATTGTATGTACTAGCTCTTATCTATAAATCCATCAATGTTTTGTATCTCACCTTGTATGTATGTACTTTACCTGAATAAATATTTGATTTGATTTGAAAGTAAAACGTGTAAATTGACCAATACTGAACAGGCTAATTGGTTTTCAGGGGTTCACATTGGCTGTTATATTCATTGAATATCGGCATATACAGGTCAGTTAAAAGCCTCGAATCCCAATCACAGTTTCCGACCAGGGCTGTTCAGATGGTCTATCCAGATTGTTTAAGGTTATTTCCCGCTTCGCTAAGTTCATACAGCTGCAAATTAGTACTACAAGATCCTGGAGGAGCTGTCGGTTTTATTTTTAGACCAGAAGTGCTTGGAAGGTCAGGCTGAACTCTCACAAGTCAAGCCTGGCCTCGGGCCGGGCTTGGGGAGTAGAAGAACTCCCAGAACCCCATCAAGCAGGTATCAACCAACAGCCTGGTGGACCAAACTCTCACAAGTCAAGCCCTAGCCTCGGGCCGGGCTTGGGGAGTAGAAGAACTCCCAGAACCCCAACAAGCAGGTATCAACCAACAGCCTGGTGGACCAAACTCTCACAAGTCAAGCCCTAGCCTCGGGCCGGGCTTGGGGAGTAGAAGAACTCCCAGAACCCCATCAACCAGGTATCAACCAACAGCCTGGTGGACCAAACTCTCACAAGTCAAGCCCTAGCCTCGGGCCGGGCTTGGGGAGTAGAAGAACTCCCAGAACCCCATCAAGCAGGTATCAAGCAAGCAGGAGAGCATTCGTGGAGGATTCTCAGTCGTGTGTGAATTAAAGTTGTGCGGTGAAGGGCAGTTATGAAGGTCCGTCCTGTGTGGGTATTTTGAGGGAGGGAGATGAAGCCACAGTTAGTGTGGTGTCATAGCAAGCAGGAGCGGACCTCGACTAGTCTGGTGTGTGGAAGCAAGCAAGGGCGTGGTGCGAGGTCTGGTTCGGGTGTGGGAGGCGTGTAGGACAGCGTTGTGCTGGATCTGGGCCAGGTGTGTGGCTCCACACCTGCGCCAGGTGTGGAGCCGGATCTAACCAGATGTTGCTTATATGGGAAGAATTAATACAAATTTAGCATATCAACGTTATGGATAGGATGATGATTATATAAATGACATATTGAATTTTATTACAGAAAAAACCGGTGGGGCCCAACGCGGTGGCGCCGCCAGTAGACCGTCCCAGCCACACGCCCCGTTCGGTATCGGTTAGTTGACACACGTTGCTCTGAACTATCCTTGGCTTCCACACTGACACCCACACTAACACTGTTCAGTGCCGCTCCTGTGGCCTGCGCCCGGAGTCTGGAGTTGCCACACAAGAGCTGGAAGACGAGCCACAGTTCCTGTGGGGCCAAGAGTCTCTAGGAAAGCGTCGACTCTCCGCATTTAATGACTTTTAAAAACAAAACAAAAAACACTAAAATAGTGCAGGAAACTCGAGCTACAGACGTTTGCAATATTAAGGAAATCAACGAGAAATATTCTTTACCTGAAAAATATGAAACGTGCCGCTGATATGATAATATTAAAAGTTAAACGCACGTTATTAATGATTATATATTCAGGTTAGACGGACACTGCCGGCACGAGAAGAATGCCTCCCACCGTGAAGTACACATGCACGAGGAGGCCACTGAGAGCGCCAGTGGAGTATACAGTGGTCACGACGCCAGTGTCGCAGTAACTGCACTTTTACCCAGAGCAAAGATGAGTTAGCAGCCACGAGAAATGTGTAGGACTGTAACGTTTTCATTGGTGGGCGGAGGTCCCCAGTGGCTGTGGTGGGCGGAGGTCCCCAGTGACTGTGGCGGGCCGAGGTCCCCAGTGGCTGTGGTGGGCCGAGGTCCCCAGTGACTGTGGCGGGCCGAGGTCCCCAGTGGCTGTGGTGGGCGGAGGTCCCCAGTGACTGTGGCGGGCCGAGGTCCCCAGTGGCTGTGGTATGCGGAGGTCCCCAGTGACTGTGGCGGGCCGAGGTCCCCAGTGGCTGTGGTGGGCGGAGGTCCCCAGTGGCTGTGGCGGGCCGAGGTCCCCAGTGGCTGTGGTGGGCGGAGGTCCCCAGTGACTGTGGCGGGCCGAGGTCCCCAGTGGCTGTGGCGGGCCGAGGTCCCCAGTGGCTGTGGCGGGCCGAGGTCCCCAGTGGCTGTGGCGGGCCGAGGTCCCCAGTGGCTGTGGCGGGCCGAGGTCCCCAGTGGCTGTGGCGGGCCGAGGTCCCCAGTGACTGTGGCGGGCCGAGGTCCCCAGTGGCTGTGGCGGGCCGAGGTCCCCAGTGGCTGTGGCGGGCCGAGGTCCCCAGTGGCTGTGGCGGGCCGAGGTCCCCAGTGACTGGCGGGCCGAGGTCTCCCGTCACCTGCTGGAGCCGACACAAGTCACGGCATAACACAGGATAATCTGCCTAAGTGCGTGCACTCCCTCCTGCAGTGGCTGCTGGTGGTGGTGGTGTCTGAAAAATCGGCAGTGCGGGAAAGTCCATTATGAGGAGAGTGTAACTCATGTCTGGAGAATTACTTACTCTCGGGTACTGGGGCCTGTTGATGTGCATATTGGTGGAGGGGAGGGAGGGAGGGAGGGTGTGTACTCACCTAGTTGTGCTTGCGGGGGTTGAGCTTTGTCTCTTTGGTCCCGCCTCTCAACTGTCAATCAACTGGTATACAGATTCCCGAGCCTACTGGGCTTTTATCATATCTACATTTGAAACTGTGTTATGTAGTCAGCCTCCACCACATCACTTCCTAGTGCATTCCATTTACTAACTACTCTGACACTGTAATTTTTTTCTAATGTCTCTGTGACTCATCTGGGTAATAAGTTTCCACCTGTGTCCCCTTGTTCGTGTTCCACCCGTGCTGAAGAGTTTGTCTTTGTCCACCCTGTCAATTCCCCTGAGAACTTTGTAGGTGGTTATCATGTCTCTCCTTTCTCTTCTGTTTTCCAGGGACGTGAGGTTCAGCTCCTTCAGCCTTTCCTCGTAGCTCATACTTCTCAGTTCCGGGACAAGTCTGGTGGCATACTGCTGAATCTTCTCTAACTTTGTGTGTATATGTGTATGTGTGTGTGTGTACTCACCTATATGTACTCACCTATATGTGCTTGCAGGATCGAGCATTGACTCTTGGATCCCGCCTTTCGAGCATCGGTTGTTTACAGCAATGACTCCTGTCCCATTTCCCTATCATACCTGGTTTTAAAATTATGAATAGTATTTGCTTCCACAACCTGTTCCTGAAGTGCATTCCATTTCCCCACTACTCTCACGCTAAAAGAAAACTTCCTTACATCTCTGTGACTCATCTGAGTTTCAAGCTTCCATCCATGTCCTCTCGTTCTGTTACTATTCCGTGTGAACATTTCGTCTATGTCCACTCTGTCAATTCTTCTGAGTATCTTATACGTTCCTATCATGTCCCCCCTCTCCCTTCTTCTTTCTAGTGTCGTAAGGCTGTGTGTGTGTGTGTGTGTGTGTGTGTGTGTGTGTGTGTGTGTGTGTGTGTGTGTGTGTGTGTGTGCTTTCTAGTGTCGTAAGGTTGTGTGTGTGTGTGTGTGTGTGTGTGTGTGTGTGTGTGTGTGTGTGTGTGTGTGTGTGTGTGTGTGTGTGTTTACTAGTTGTGTTTTTGCGGGGGTTGAGCTTTGCTCTTTCGGCCCGCCTCTCAACTGTCAATCAACTGTTTACTAACTACTTTTTTTTTCCCACACCACACACACACACCCCAGGAAGCAGCCCGTGACAGCTGACTAACTCCCAGGTACCTATTTACTGCTAGGTAACAGGGGCACTTAGGGTGAAAGAAACTTTGCCCATTTGTTTCTGCCTCGTGCGGGAATCGAACCCGCGCCACAGAATTACGAGTCCTGCGCGCTATCCACCAGGCTACGAGGCCCGTGTGTGTGTGTGTGTGTGTGTGTGTGTGTGTGTGTGTGTGTGTGTGTGTGTGTGTGTGTGTGTGTGTGTGTGTGTGTGTACACAGTGATGAGTTGCAACACCTGGGTTCCGCCTCTTAACTATATGGAGTTTGATACAATGATTCCCAACCTTCTTCTCTGGATCTCTTTGCTCGTTCCACTTGCTCACTACTCTGTGGCTGACGTGTTGCTTCTCTATGTTCAGGGGCTCATCTCAGTAACTCGTGCCTTCTCCTTCCATTGCTAAAGTTCTATATAATACCGAGACCTTTTCTCGTGACATACCTGCTTGATGGGGTTCTGGGAGTTCTTCTACTCCCCAAGCCCGGCCCGAGGCCAGGCTTGACTTGTGAGAGTTTGGTCCACTAGGCTGTTGCTTGGAGCGGCCCGCAGGCCCACATACCCACCACAGCTCGGCTGATCCGGGCTGTGAGATAGTCTCTCGTCTCAAAGACTTATTCTCCAAACAACCTTGAAGCAGTTAAGACCTCTTTACCCTTCTCGTTTGTGTTGTTTAATGCAGAGACTCTCAACCATCCTGTTTCTTGTCATGTCTGCTTGTTAAACTATTGTCTTAGCTTCTGCTGTTTCTCTCACTTAAAAGAAGTTTTCGTGACTAACCCCGTGACTCGTCTGCGCCTCAAGTTCCCCCATTTAGGTCTTATCATAAATCACCTCCTCTACCTCCTCATCACAATCGACTTGAGAATGGTCCAGGACGGACCGAAACGTCGTCGTCTCTTCAACTTCTAGTGTGTGGTCTGGTCAACATACTTCAGCCACGTTATTGTGACTCATCGCCTGCATATCATAAATCATCTTGAACATATCTTGTTGATTATCTCTGTCTCCCGAGCTATGATCCAGTAAGTTCAGTAGAACTTCGGTTTCAACCCTTTTACCTTGTCGTAGCTCAGTGGATTAAGGCAGTGTCTGGGATGCTCCCGGACGCAGGTTCGAATCCTCGTCACGGCCCTTGTGGATTTGTTCATTTTATCTCTGTCTGTTTGCAAGAAGTTTTTTTTTTTTTTTTTTTTTTGAGATATATACAAGAGTTGTTACATTCTTGTACAGCCACTAGTACGCGTAGCATTTCGGGCAAATCCTTAATCCTATGGTCCCTGGAATACGATCCCCGCCGCGAAGAATCGTTTTTTTTCATCCAAGTACACATTTTACTGTTGCGTTAAACAGAGGCTACAGTTAAGGAATTGCGCCCAGTAAATCCTCCCCGGCCAGGATACGAACCCATGACATAGCGCTCGCGGAACGCCAGGCGAGTGTCTTACCACTATGCCATGGAGACTGCAAGTTGTTAGATGCAGTTACCGCGCGTCTCGCAACAGTGACCGTGAGGGACTTCTGGGTTTAGGGTAGTTTCACTGACAGTTAAGCGGCGTAAACTACAACAACAACTACGTCAAGTGAGGCGCTTAGAGTGAGCACAGTGTGTAGATGTGCGTGTTGTTGTGCGGAAATAGGTACCTGGGTGTTAGTCAGCTGTCACGGGCTGCTTCCTGGGGGTGGAGGCCTGGTCAAGGACCGGGCCGCGGGGACACTAAAGCCCCGAAATCATCTCAAGATAACCTTCAAAATCATCTCAACATATACGTTGTCGTAGATGTCTCAAGCCGTCAGCATCTTCCTCTGCTCACTCAATATTTAGTGTTGATCGTTGAAAGGAAGCCACGTTGGGATGCGGTAATGTGATGTTTACAGCGCCTGTGTCACCTATTTTGATATAATGAAAATTACGGGTGACAATAGGCACATTGAGAGCCACCTTGAGGTTACCTTGAGGTGCTTCCGGGGCTTAGCGTCCTCGCGGCCCGGTCGTTGACCAGGCCTCCTGGTTGCTGGACTGATCATCCAGGCTGTTGGACGCGGCTGCTCGCAGCCTGACGTACGAGTCACAGCCTGGTTGATCAGGTAGCCAATACCAGGTCAGTTCCTGAACCCATCACGTGCCCCTCTAACCTTGTCCACCACCACCCTCACCATAAGTGTAGGTTGCGAAACAGATGGATTAAACTAAAACTGCCGTAATCGGTAACTTTCCTTAAGATATGAGGGAAATTACCAATTAATTCTTTAACTTGCCAAAGGGAAAATCGTCACGTTCTTTCAGACCGCACTTGAAGCGCTCCGTATAGTGTAGTACGAGTGTCAGATGTGCAGCGTCTGGCTGATCAGGTGCTGTGACCTACGAGCCTCAGGGGCCTCGTTGCCTGGTGGATAGCGCGCAGGACTCGTAATTCTGTGGCGCGGGTTCGATTCCCGCACGAGGCAGAAACAAATGGGCAAAGTT